GGTTCAACTAAGAAAATATGTACACTGCTTTGACTCAGTAAACTCATACTCAGTATGGTTCATCTTCTTCATATTTACTTTTGCCCATATTAGAAAACAATTAGCTTACTAAACAAATTTGAGTATTTGGGAAGAAAAAATCTACTTTGAGTCTCTCTCATTTGCCTAAGAATTACATGATATTTGATAAGCTTGTTTAAAAATGGACATATCCAAATATTATTGTAAACACCCATTGATTTGTTTTACCTGCAATATAAGTATTTTACTTAGTTGGCTTACATAGTAGCTAATAATATTTGTTAATGTAATTTAACTGCTGTGAACCTTTACTGAACAAATATTGAAATTTATACAAGTCAAAGAAAGAGAATCTCTAATGACTTTTGTAAAAGCTTCCATTTAATAGTTAAGGAGAAAAGTTTATATGACATACCAGATGCAATTAACAGTAGATTTTACATTTAATAAAAAGAAAGAAGCATATGTATTTGCTTTATTCATTCCATCATAATTTGCATTAGAGCTGTGGGTGTTTAATGAGCAAATTCCAGCTAAAATGCTATATTGATTTTCTAAGTGAACTTTGTAATAGCTATCTACCTTACAAAAGCTCTCTGTTTACAATTGTTTTCTTTACTAAAAACTAAAAATGTTTTAGAATTGATGAGTTTAGCATAATGATTCTTTTAAAATAAAGAGCTCTTTTAGAGCATGCAGGGGTTTTAGTTACAAGGAGAAAGATGTTATTAAATTATTCCAAAGCAAATAAAGTTTATGCAACTAAATAGTAATGTCATATTTATATATATTACAATGTTTGCAAGCATTGGAAAATAATCCCGTTTTCTTAATTTAGCACTACAGGATTTAAGTATTTTAATTCTTGAATGTCCTATGTATATGATTTAGTAAATGACACAATTCATTTTAGCTTAATACTTGACTATTCATACTTCATTTTTGTGTGTCATTTTTTTGCTTGAAACATGAGTTCTATAAGAATTTGTGTTTCTTGTTGGTCAGGCCTCAAGATAAACAGGATAGGGTTGGTTGGTGCGCCATTGGAAGGTCTCCAAGAAAAACCTTGTGGTGTCGACCAGAGCAGTTGGTGACTAAGTAGCTGGATCACTTTTTTCTTTGCATCAGGCATCAAGTCAGTGTGTCAGTATGGGGCTAGTATTTTGCTGGATATGCCATATCTTGAATGGGGCTTAGGAGCCAGATTTGTTACTCTCAATTTTTGCCTGGGATTTTTAAGAAGCATAGGGATGATAATCTGGATGGTCTTTCCTCTTTTTAATATGGAGGATTTTTATGTCACTCTCTCTCATAGGCTTTTCATTGGACAGCTTATACTTCACATACTTTCCTAAATATGACACAAAACGTTTTGGTTTGCTGCTGCATTGCAACCCAAAAGAGTATGTATTGCAGTGTCTCACTTGAAGAATCTTGTGGTCCTTATGGTCCTGAACTTTTACTTGTGACTCATCCATAGCTCAATCTGAATGGTGAATGTTATTGCTTGGACCACCTGCAATTGTGTAACTGTTATAATTTTCTGTATAGTATTAAAAAAAGGAATTTGTTAACTATTAAACAGAGTCAGAAATATATAGGCATTGGATGACAGAAATATCTAACCTAAATTCAGCAGAAACTGGCTGGTAAAGGAACCAGGTAAGTTAGCCTTCTGTAGACCATTAAAATGAGCTAGATGAGGACTCTAAGTATTTTTTAAATTAGTAATTTCTTGTGGTCAGTGTCAGTATTGCTACATGGTATTGAAATGCCATGTAGCTAAGTATCTTTTCCTTTTTTTTCCTTTTTTTAAACTTAGATTACCATGCAGGTATCTTACATGATTTTCTACACACTCCCTAATCTATTTTAATATGAAAAAATTAACTTGCAATATTACTTTTAAGAAATAGAAGCAAAAAGCCAAATACTTGTGATTGATATGGAACTACTGTAAATTTTTTTTAATGTAGCTGGTGAATCTGGTTATTGGCATATTTACTCCCATGCTTTAATTTAGTGGAAGGATAAGAAAATAACAAGAAAGAGTTGCTCAATTTAAGTCCCTTTTCCATAGCCAGTAGTTAAAAGACAGTATTTTGTAATGGACCTTTGGGTGGGGAAAGGGTTCACTGTTCAAGGCAATTAGTCTCTGGGCTACTATCAGGGATGGTAAGATTTGAGATAAGCAGGATGTTTAAGTAACTTAAAAAAATCTCTTTTTCTGAATGTTTTCATGCTGTTCATATATATTTATAAATTACTTTGGTTTACAGACAAATAAGCAATGATCTGGTTTTAAAAAGCCTGTATAGTCATTATTACCACTGGTTATAGTTCCTCAGAGAGGGAATTAGATATACCAAAACACAGTCCCTCTAAGTGTAGTTGTATGCTCAAGATCCATTGTAGCAGTCAGCAAATTGTGGTTTTCCGTGCTGAAGTGGGGACATTATAGCATCTGACAGAAGGGATGCACTCAAAGAAGTTAACTAATCTGGAAACTAATTAACCCCAGAACAGTAGTAAGTGCCAAATCTTTAGTTATTTTAGACAGCTTTCTATTCATTCCAGCAATTGTTGTCATTATGAAAATTGCATAATGTTTCCACTTGCAGCTTTATGCAAAGGGTTCTCTGTGCAGTGTCTCTGGCATGATGATAGATAAACTGACATAATTTACTGGAAAAATTATAGTAAACAAATATATTGAGGTACACATAGGTAATAATTACCATACATAATTAAACTGCTTGCTTATTCCAGATCCAACTAGGGCATAGAAGTTGTATTGTAGTTTACCGAGGCAGTCAATGCTGAGGAACTAGTTTCCCTGCCATCATAGATCTCAGCAACCTCAGTGGAAGTCTGGTGAGCTGAAATGCACACCCCACCCCATACAATTTGTTCTTGTTCTTGCTGAGCTACCTACCTTTGCAGATACCAGACTCATCCTCTGCAAGTGCTGCAAACATACTCCTGCCTACCGGTCTGTGTGCATGCAGTTTTGCAGCTGCTTTACTCATGCCTTAGTTTTTCCATTCCACATCAAGCAAAACAGGGCAAAGAAAAAAGACACTATTCTTGTGGAACAAGTAAATACTCAAACGGAAGAGAATTAAATCAGTGTTTGTTAGATTATCTGTACATTTCAAGATTTGTGCTTCTGATGCTGAATTTTTTTTGTTTGGTTGGTTGGTTTTTATGTTACATCTTGTTACATCTCTGGCTTGATGACCAGGCTTGCAGCTCCTCTGCAGATTTTTGTGAGAGGAGGGACTGGACTCCCAGAAGTGACATTTAGACTTTCCCTGTCTTCTTTTGTCCAGTCTGCTGTTATCATGCAACCTTTTGCTAGACCTGCAAAAAATTCTTCCTTACTCCTCAGTAACACTCTTCTCCCCAGCTTGAGGACAAGAGGATTGCTTTCCTACCTTGATTAGCTTCCTAATTCATCTCTCCACATTCTTTTTCTATTCATCTTCTCAGTCATCTTACATCCCTGCTTCTCTGAGCTGCTTGTGAACTGTACTGAAACTTACCGCTTTTTGTATTTCAGTTGATTGGGGTGTTTTGGGGTTTTTTTCAGTAATGATAATGTGTATTTTGTGCCAGCGATATAGCTGCCACCAAAATGTACTACTATGTTCCTATTGTTCCATTCTGTGAAGAACAATAAAGTGCTTTATGTTATAGCGCACTGTGAAGTTTTTGTACAATGATGTACAAAGGTGAAGACTAAACTAACCTATAAAGGCAACAAAGTTGATGTCAATTGAGGCAAGAATGGAAGGGATAAAACCTCTAGCGTAACGTGAAGAGGAAGCCTTTCTTTGAGATTTTAATGACTTGAATAGTGGTTCAGAGAGGAGCAGAGTTCTGAAGGGGGTAAGGAAGCACAGCAGCAGTGGCTTAATACAGAAGGTTCTTGAGAAAAAAAATGCCAAAATTTGAAAGAGACTGTAATATGGTGTTAGGATACTGTGGCTGAACACCAGCTTGGCAGACTAGAAGAGGAGCATGGAGAATTCTGGAACCTACTGACCTCAGTTCAGTTTTTTGGAGGTGCCTGTGACAATCAGAGAGGATATAGTCCTCTGTCTTGGAGTGATGGCTGTCTTACTATGGCATCCTGAAAGTCCCTAGACATTTCAGCTGCAGGGTTTTATGATGACTGTGAGGAGAGATTTGCAGTATTGCAGAGGGAAATGATGAAAGTATGAATAAAGATTTTAGTGGAGGCAGGGTCGAGGTAAGGATTCTGGCGGTGTGCCAGAGATGGTGTTAGACATATTGACAGGGGAGAGGCAGGAAGAAAATGTAAGCTCGGGATGAGGAATGACTTGAAGGTGTTAGTTTGCTCCCAAGGATAGACAGTAAATCTTAGTTTATTGGCACCTAATGCTCCAAGGTCCACGTATGCCGTAACAGATAATATAACAGTATATTACACAATAAAGTAAAGGCTTGGCAGAGAAGAAGAGATGCCAGCTGTGCCACTCTTGTGCTACCAGAGACAGACTATGAAACTACCAGAATTTTTAATATTTAGTATCAGTGTGCCACCCTGATAGGAAGCAGTGTGATGGTAGAAGTAGTTTTAATGTATCATTACTTTTAACTCTATGTCCTGGAAGAAACTTACTAGTGTCTCATATGATTCTGAGCTTTAAGAATTACTTTTCCATTAAGCAAGTATTCAGAATGCAAAGCAAATAACTTCCTTGCCCTGTTTGATTATACAGGGGTGAATTTAAAAACACATAGCTTTATTTCATTCCTTGAAGTATTCATTTTAGCAATCAACAGCTATTTAGTGTTGTGTCTGAAGAGTAATATAGACCTTATCCAGAGTGATCTGAGGTCAGTGGAGAAATGTTGATTTTAGGAGATGCTCAGAAAGGCCCATGTAAGTGTGTCTAATAGTGTCTTTCCCTGTCAAAGTTGTTTGTTAAACACACTGGTTACTTTTGCAGCTCTGGTGGAAGAAGTTTATTCTGCTCAACGAGAACGTGATGAGGCTGTCATGGCAAGGCTTAGGTTAGCCAATGAAGAGAGAGATGAAGCATTTCTACGAGTCCAGCGTTTAGAAGAGTCTCTCAAGGAGTAAGTATACATTTTCTACCCTGTGCCAAAAGGTTGTTGTGTCAGTCTTTGACTGCCATAAACTGCTTGACAGTGGTTATATAGCACAAACTTCTTTATGATGAAATACCAGACTAGTACTAGTCTTACTGTGCTATTGGTTAATTTGTTAGCCATCCTATAAGACCGTATTTTTCTCTGGAGACTGAGAGCAAGGTGAATAATTTTGATCACAGAAATTAAAAATATAATCAAAAGCTTTGGTATTGATTTATTCAGGGATAAATAAGACGAATGTGACATTTTATAGGAATCTTGTGACACAGAGTACCAGAATGTCAGTCAGAAGTTGCGATGTATAGGAAATCAATCAAACCTTTAAGCCCCCTAGACATTTCCTTCTGGAAAATTTCTACTAGTGATGTGGGTGACGTAGTAAAAATATATGGGTTTTTCTTGTCTGTAGTGTAGGATCAGTTTGTAAGGCAATAAGGGTATAATTAATACTTCTTATAGTTTTATGTGTGCTGTGTTAACACAACAGAAATAGGCAATCTCATGTTAAACAAAACTGTTAAGTCAGGAGAGGAAGATCAAGAACAGTTTCTTTTGTCACTTTGGTATATAGGCAGCTTTGAAGCTACAATTTGCTTCTCCATGTAATCTTTCTCCATCTGAGTTGTGATCATCTTGCTTACCATCTATGGTAGTCCCCCAAAGTCTAGAGTGGCTGAGAAATTTCTCCTATTTTTCTGCCAAGAGAAATACAAAGCAAACAGAGAAGTTTTTCATGGTAGGAGACTGAATAGGTGCAGCTGTGAGTTAACTAAATGGCAGGCAATTATGTTTTAAATAATTCATTCTACTAAGAACACTCTTTGCTCTTTATGGCAGAAAACCAGTCATCTTCTTTTGGGTATTTTTGTAGGTAAGGCTGGAGAATGTTATCTAAATAAATTTCAGTAGTGTGCACATAGTTTGTGCACCATTACTCTCTGGAATTTACATGTTGCTAGTTTGTCACAGCCTGTAGCAAGACTCAACAGCAAGATTAGGAGATTCCATTCCCACAAGAATTGGTGCACAATTTGTTAGAGTTAAATGTCTCTACAGGGCCCGTTATAGGTGTATGTGCTTCTGAAATGTTGCTTTGAGCAGCAATCTCTGAGGAAATTACAAATGTGCTTTAAATTCCTGTAAGAGGCATCATAGCTGTGAGCCTTATTCCATTCTTTCCAATTTCTTCTGTCATTCTTCTGCTTTTGTATGTTCCAAGAGTAAAGAAAGCAAGAAAGTCTTGTGTGGCCCCAAACATCAAATGAAACTGTGTATAAGGTGTTAGCATAAACTCAAGAACTTTGGGGTTAAAGTGCTGAAGTCCTGCAGCAAATTAATTATTCTGGTTGACAGACCTAGTCAATGACTTTTGGGCTTCTGGAAGAAATCACAGGTTATTAAGTGTGTGAGAGGCATATTGCTGCTTTTTCTGCAATGGAATCCATAGGCACACATGTGGCAGGTCTTGACACACATGAATCCCTCAGAACACCATCACTTGTTCTCCCTTCAACCCCTTCTGTCTGCTTCACTTGTACTGGAAGACCAACTTATTTCTAAGCAGAAGGATGAGAAGAGATAAGAAACTCCACTTCTTGGAGAACATGTATACTACCTTCCCCAAAAAAATGTCGTTGCAGAAGGCACTGGATACACTGGTAATGACAAAAAAGGTACTTGCTCCAAGGAGAGGGTCAGTAACTCCCTTTGCTGATAGCTTGGAGCCAAGCTATTATACCTTATTGCTATCATTTAGAGAATAGCAATTGTTATTGCTGTCATCCACTTGGGTGCTCTTTCTGATGCTTTATAGAGAGGCCTGATACCCGGATGCCATTCACAGTCTCAGAATTGGCACAGGAGATTTCCCTGTGGAGAACACCAACCCAACACAGGCAAAAATTGCAATGGGCTAACCAGCTCCGGTTAGTTCAATATCCCATATGCATTCCTCTTTGCCTAAACCAGTGAGCCATTGTCTGTAGCTAGTATCTCCTCCTGTATATTCTGCAAGGGTGCAGGTCAGGCTTCTGTGTGATATTTGCTGTCATGACAGCCAACACCAGGGCACAAAACTGGGGGCAAAACCAATTTAATTCAAAAGAATTGTCCTTGCCAAGCTGAATGTGTGCTGCAAGATCATAGATCCAGTATTTTCCAAGGTCTCCCATTCTACATTACAGAGACTGACTGTGGCAATACCAGCTTGTTGGGAAGAGTCATACCCAAGTCTTTCACATTGTGGGTGCTGTGTGACCTGTCACTGAGGGTGACATGAACAAAATCCTTAGGCAGATCCCAAGCAGGTTTATGCCTCCCATAGGGCACAAAGATGTTGCTGAAGGGTTCTGAAAAATGTTACATGCTTTTATTTTCATTGATAGTTTTAGTGTCAGTCATCAGAGCAGTGAAAGAAAAATCCTAATTGACAAAAGCCACAAAGGCAGAGAGCCCAAAAGCTTCATTTGTTCCCACTGTAAAGTTTGTTAACGTTTGTTAATTGTTCATGCAGTAAGTACTTAATGGTAATGAATTACTGGGCATTAATTGCTGTATGTAATCCCCTGAAAGGGAGAAAAACTCATTCTTTATGTCCAAGTAATCATCATGTTCACTGCATCAGATGTCTTAGTATCTGCCTCTTTTCTTACCTTGCTACCCGTTCAGCCAAATTGCAAGTTTGATGGGAATGTCTTAAGCCATATCAGACAATGTAAGAAACTTCAAAGATGCCTGGCTCCATTCCACCAACTTATATTCAGTATTACCGCAGTCCACGGTGACTGCATCCATTTGTGCAGCCTGACCAAGGTCAAGCTGACCACAGCTCTTCGCTTACCCATATCAGTCCTCTATGTGACAACACCTTCTAGATAATGTGATATTTCTTCCAAAAAGAGCAATGGTATGGTACAGGGAAACATTTCCTGTTGTGATTATTGGTTCAGGGGATTTTGTGTTCTTTTTTTGAATAAAGTTCTTTGCTCTTTTTGAAATCTTTGGGCATTACAGAACCAAGAAGGTAGGGTTGCCTCCATCAGGGCCAGCCGCTTTTCTTCTGTTCCACTTATTCTAAGCTTACAGGATGCTTATTCATGCAGCTGCACACTTTGCAAACAAGAAATGGCTGAGTGGAGC